CCTGACTGTTTGGGGAGCCCCCTTTGTGCAGCCCCCTCACTCTGACATTTCTCCACTGATGTATGTCTATAGGCTCTGTCTAATCCAGGCCCATGAGTGTGAGTAGAAAGTCTCTTATTATTAAAGTGAAACCCAAATTTCCCCACACGGATGAATAAAGTATAAAAAATTAGGAAAGAAAGAAAATTAAACAAGTACATTGCACTGCAGTTCCTGAAACGACCACTTGAGGCTGGCTCTGAAAGTGAGTCAATCCCCATTAATCCCCATATTAAAATGCCAAACTTTACAGCAGATTTTAAAAGATTTACCAGCTTGTACATAAAAAATGGTTTTGGTCTCAATAGCTATGGGTTCTCCATGCACGACACCTTTACAGGGCAATAATTTACAAAAAATTAAATGTTTATAATAAATTGACCTTCGGTGTCTTGTCTTAGAGTACAGTATTTTGTTTCCTGTAAGACAAGTTGGCCCTCCATTGCTGTACTGTAGCTGTCAATAAAAACAGAATGGGTGTTAAAATTTAACAGGTGGCTGTCTTTTTTAGAACTTTTCTCAATTGTCCTCTAAAATTATTTACTCAATCTACAATAATTATTTCTTAATAATCTAAAAGTGAACCTGTCTGAGTGTGAATATATGACACAGAATGACTTTTCTGTTGTCTTTCTACATTGTTTTTGACAATAAGATGATCGCAACTGAAAAATATGGGGGCTCAATTGTTGCTTATCTTCCTGACACTTGAGAAGAACCCCACTGTTGGAGGGACATCCACTACCCCAGCAGCACACAGACCTATGTTGGTCCCTAAACTATCATCAGGTCTATTCCTGCTGCTCGGTGGGACTGGAGTTCTCCAAGGAGAGCTGAAAACCGGATTGTTTTACACACACCTGTTCCTGAACGTCACTCGGCTACACGCCTGTCTCAGAGGGAGCGCAGTTAATCGCTGATTTGGCACACTTACAGTGACAACATACCAAGGTCCAGTTTCAGGAACACACACACACACACACACACACACACACACACACACACACACACACACACACACACACACACACACAACAAATATACTCCCACGCTTATACACGCCCTCACACACAAATAGACGCACAGAACTGCCTACAACTTATGACCTGTACAGATTTACAAACATTAAACATACTTTTTTTTAGACACACACTCTCACACACACACACACACACACACACACACACACACACACACACACACACACACACACACACACACAGAACAAATATACTCCCAGGCTTATACACGCCCTCACACAAAATAGACGCACAAAACTGCCTACAAATTATACAAACATTGAAACATACTTATTTGACAAACAGAAATAAAACACATAATCACACACACACCCAAAGCTTTGACACACTCGTACACAAAAAAAACAGTGTACAGCTCAAAACTACTAACCAACGCCGATGGTACAGCCAACTTTTACTGATACACACATTTGATCAAAGTTTTGCATTATGAAGACTTCTATTGCCATAAATAAGGCAAGTCCCCACAATGCGACTGTGAAAATATATACTGGCCCCACAACGTCACTAATACATGTCCAAAAAAAATGTAGTCACGCACACACGCACACACACAAATCTTCACAAGTCTTCAGCATTAAAAGGAAAGTTTAGTGAGGACATGCATTTTGTCCTTATAAGGAAGGCGAGTCTCTTGTCCCCATAAAGTAATCAATACATGTACACAAAAACAAACACACTATTACTAAAACATGAGCACGATGGTTGTGTGACTACAGATGCTGAAACTTCATAATGAATCACACATTCTGTCCCTTCAGCAGCCATCTTTGATTTTTCGCTTGACTGTTGACTTACCGAAATGATTTTATACCATGCAGAACACACAAGACTCTTTCAAACCCAGCCTGAAACTTGCAATTATTTTACAGTTGTCTAAAAAAAAAAAAAAAAACAGGGCAGTAGTTTGTATATACTGGAACGCTGAAGCTTTGTGGCTTTGACTAAAAGGGAAACAATTAAAGTGCTTCTTGGCAGCACATGAAGCCAGACGACGTTAAAAATGGCTGAGCTTTTCAACACGGGTGAGGCCTCGAGGCTCTGCCTGTCTGGAGTCATGAGAATCTTCTAGAAAAACTTTCATGTTGTGACTCTGGATTGGTTTTCTGTTCTCTGTTTCTTCTCTCCTCTTTAATCCAGCAGCACAGTAGCAGCTGCAACATTCAAGTTACTCATACAGAGTACACTCCTGCCCATTTGTTTTTTCCTGAAACTGTGTTGAACTCTGGTTGTCAGAGCATATGTTAAACAAAATAATCTCTCGTTAAGCATCTGGCTTTCTAAAGATTTTTCTTTTTAATTTAATTTAGTGCACATAAATTATTTAGAAAGAGGAGACTCTAAAGGAGAAGACAAGCCAATCTTGTGGCAATGCTTACATGACGGACAACCACAGCCAGGGCTAGCACAAAAACTAGTGAGCTTATCCACAAACAACAGTTTGACTTTGTTCTTTTTTAACAACAACAAGAGGAGCTGTATCAATAAATAATTAGACTAATCGCCCCCCAGTGGTGGAATGAACTTCCAAACTCCATGTGATCTGCAGAGTCCCTCTGCACCTTTAAGAAAAAGCTAAAGACCCAGCTCTTTCATGAATACCTACTAACTTAATGATGATGGTCTCCATATTATTGATGATGATGATGGTAATGACGATGGTTTTTGTTTGACAACGACGACTTATAAGATGGTTTCTATACTGATTAGAGCTCTCAAGAACTGCCCTCAATGTTGTGCTTTGCCTCTGGACACTTCCTGTTCCCTTTTTTTCTAGATCCTTGCTTGTGTTGTACTTACTCTCTGATGTACGTCGCTTTGGATAAAAGCATCTGCTAAGTGAATTGTAGAATTGTAATTGGTAATTAGCCCAGTCTTTAACTTCTCACAACAAATCAGAGACACTATGTATGTGACACAGGCCAGGTTGTAACTGAAACTTGAAACCCAACAGTGGCAGCCATTGTTTACAATTTAGCAAATATTGACTTAAACTTCTCCTTCACTAACTTTAGTTTTATCCACCAAAATCTATGTGCTGTGGTACCCATCGAGTTAGAGCAACTGTAAAGACACACCTCTTCCTCTTCCCACCTCTCGTCCTCCTCTGAGGGGTTTGGTAAAAGGTGCTTTAAAGGTCATACAGCCGCTCAAAGAGGGCGAGAGTGGGTTTAATGAACAACGACCAATGGTTAGCTGAGAGGGGAGTGGGGCGGAGAAATCAGGGTACAGGAGAAAGAGAAAAGGGGGGGAATGGGAAGTATAGAGGAGGAGGAGGAAGGGAGGAGGAATGGAAAGCGTCCACCAGCGCAAACACCTCTGAAACAGAAACATCCATTTAGCAGCGAAAACAAGCCCCCCTCACAAGACCTCCGTGAATGGGCCACTTCAGCCGGCCGAGGAAGTTCCAACGAGGGGCAGGATGTTCCCCTCAGGACGCACTTGAGACGGGCTAAGGGCCAAAAGCCTGAATACATAGACCCCCTCTCTCTCCCTCTGTCACTGTCCAGCTTTGCCCTCCCACCCGGGGCTGAGTGGCTTTGGTACCCCCGCAAGAAAACAGCGCACCCCCCCACCTCCCCACGTCCTCCCCTCCTACCAGCCGTTTACGGAGCTGCAGCCAGCAAGGCGGCGAGTGAGGGCGTGGAACTGTACTCAGCAAACAAAGAGAGAGAGAGGCAAAGACTCTCTGTGATTAAAGAGCAGTTAAGATGCTATGAGAGGCTAATTTGTTCACTGTGTGACAGAATCAACAGGAACTGGAGGCAGAAACATGTGCTGCCTGCATTTCCTGCTGCAATTTAAGGTGAATGCTGCTTTGATTTGGAGTTATACAGGAGCTCCTTCACTGCTGTCTGCTAACAGTTTACTTTCCCTTACTGCAGCCACTTGTGTGCACCTTTTTAAAAATAACTGTAATACTATTTTTAAGTGCCAAAACTGGTGTTCAAATATAAGTAATCAGAATATGGTAGGATTTGAGTTAATGTAAACATGTGCGATAATCTAATCCACAGTAAAAATGTAAATGGTAACTGGCTTTATCTATGCAACACACACTTGGAATTAAGACTTTAAGAAATCCAGTTAAGGGCTTACTGAACACAGTCATGAATTCCAAAAAATCCTCTGCATTAAGTATGAATCCAGAGACAGATTTAACATTATTTATCTTAAAGACTGGATGCACACATATGCAAAAAAAAAAAACTTGCACTTCCAAAGCTTACTGAATAAAATTAAATAGCTTTTTCACTTTTTGCCACTGTAACAATTAAATAAACAAAACATCTGTTTTCAGTTTTACATGTAATAACAATGACTGCGTAATAAAATGGACGCAGCAACATCCACCTGGGAGTGAAGCCAAAATATTCAGAGCTCCCCCTGCTGTCTGGCTGGAGTATAAGGTCATAAACCCCGCCTCCTATTTGTTGACAGATGAAACACGGGTCAAACTATGAAGGTGAAATAGATGTGCAATTTTGTTTTGTTGACTAGCTTTGTTTTAATTAGTTATTTCATCATGATTGACAGCTCTGTTGGCAAATGTGGCTCCTCGCAGCGTCCATTGGATTAGCAGAGCGGAGGAGGAGGAGGAGTGTGTGTCATCCTTTTTCCAAAGCTTGTTTATATTCAGTGTGATCGACAGTAGGTTTGTGTAGACGGAAAACAAACCTTGATATCTGCGACTGTACTAACAAGACTTCAGACAAAACAAACTGTGACACTCCGCAAACAAATCTCTGACGAGTGTGTTATGGGATATTTTGGTTTCATCTCATTTAACATAAACTTCTAATGTGTTCCCCATGAATCACAGAGTCTGTCTGGGTTTTTTGTTTGACTTGTTTTTCGCCACCGGATCGGTTTGTTTTTCCGAAATACATTCTCTCAGGGACAGACACAGCGATGACAGCGGACGCTATTACAACATGTTTATTGAAAACCTTTTTTGACAGCATAGTTTGTCAGGCACAGAGAGAGAGAGAGAGAGAGAGAGAGAGAGAGAGAGAGAGAGAGAGAGAGAGAGAGAGAGAGAGAGAGAGAGAGTTGGAGAGAGAGGCTTGTGAAATAGTTGTTTTTCCCAGTGGGAGATGTTTGCCCAGAGGGGGTTTTGTAGTGGAATGTTACAGAGGATTCATCATGATCAAAACAGGTACATTGCAACAAACAAGCTATGAATTAAAAATGAAAAAAGTCACATAATGCCAAATGGTTAGTTCCACCTTTTCTATGTTAGAAACATAAATTCAGAGGGAGGAAAATAAATTACGAGGGATTGGAGCAAAAATCAAAGGACAAATATGAAACTGTCTCGCTGAAACCTGAAGTGGAATGCGACATGAAATGTGACGTAACGGAAAGAAATTAAAAAGAAGTGAAATTATTTCCTCTCTAGGATTCTTACAAAATAGCTCACACAGCTACATAAAACTCTACTCATGTACATGAATGTAAAAGCACATTTCAAACTATAAATTAATCTGGACTAACATCGTCAGGTTAGAGCTGTGGTGGTGGGAAAAAAAAGAGCAGAAGTGGGAAAATAAAACCAACCAAACTGGGAAAGTGAGCAATATTAACACTAAAGGAAGCTTAGATAACACACCTTTCATCGTCTTCAATCCTGATTTTTTTAAGTGAACAGAAAAGAGAATAAATAAGTCAGTCAGAGTCGAGACAGCAGGTGGTAAAAGGCTAATGTGTGACGTTACAGTAAGACGCCCTCCCTGCTGAGACCATGACGTTTACTGATTTGATACCAAAAGATAAATGTTTATTCTCAATAAGGATTTGTTGTTTTTAACATTTGCCTGTGAAGCATCATGTTTATCACAGAACTAAAACAATATTTCTCACTGATACAATTGGCGCCCATTTTCCTGTAATGCATCACCAGATGAAACTACTTAAATCTATTTTGTTTCTGTCCAATTAAATGTATAATTTATCTGAAATGTTGGTGTTTTTTTCAAAATAACATGAGCTCAAGAAAAGCTTAACTGTGAATCAGCTTGCAAGCTAGGCTGATTACGCTAGTTAGCCTAGCTTGCTAGCTTCTAAACATGGAGGAGCACAAATTACGCAGCACATTAGTCCTGCAAAATGTAATGTGTAAAAGGTAGAGGTGACTAATGCTAGCTGGTAACTAATTATGTGTTTTCTTCTTAAATAAAAGTGTTTACCAACTTGTATTGTACGGTACAGAACTTTGCAAGTCAAGCTAGTATCTCATCTGGGCTAATGTTAGCAAGGTAGCTAAACTTGTTATAGCTTCCACTTGATGAGTGAAAAACAAGTTTTCCAATACAAAACATCTTCCCAAATGTTTAATGTTGTAAAGGGAGAGATGACGTACGGTAGGCTTTTAAATCAAACCTCTTTGGGCTTTTAAAATATGTGGCTAAAGCGACATTTTAGTCAGTCTGTCAGTTAAGCTAGTAGCTTGTCACATAAACCGACAGCGTGCCTCTTTCAAAACAGGTCCTAAAACCAAAGTCAAAAGATTCCCCATGAAAATCCTCATCTACAAGAATCTATCTTATCATTTTAATTGTTTACATTCTGGGAAATTAGCGTTTAGCTTGATATCGTTAGCAGTTAGCCAAATTAGCCATTAATAGTAGACTATTCAGGTTTTGGTATTATTTAATAACTGGGTAAAAAGGAGCTTATTATCAAAGATTTCAACCTTGATATTTTTTTACTTAATGTTAGGAATATTTCTGGAAAGTGTGAGTCATGCTGAATCTAAATTAGTTTTGTGGATGACTTTTAGCATCAGTTGAGTGTTTAGGTTTTTGTTGTATGTTTTGTTCCTTCTTTACTTTTGTTGCAACATTTTGAAGCATGCAGATTTGTAAAAATCTACTTTTATTCCACACGCTAGATAAATGTTAAAAACAACAAATCCTTTTTATAAAAGTGAGTTCACAGAGAAATTGAGACTTAAATTGTCAAAATGGAACAAAGAGAGAGTACAAAGAAGTGAAACCAGGGAGGGCATCCAAACAAAATCAAATCAAAGATAAATGAAGCCAGGAGAAAAGCCTGATGGGGAGCAACAGCGTTAAGTAAAATGACTACTCTACATCGTCATTGTCATCATCTTCTGGCTCTTTAATGAAAAACAACACTGAAAAGCAGATAGCTATGAATAAAAATACTCTCACCATAGGGAAAGCTTTTACCCAGCATGGAAGAATAAATAAAACAAACAGCATCCGTTTCATTAGATCCATCCAAACTTTACACAAGTGCCTTCTTGTCTCGTTCACTTAGGAGGGGGGGAGGGGCAGACTAATATGTACATAGCCTGCTTCTAGTGAGAACTGCCTTTTTATTTTTTTGCATTTATACATTCAAACTGACCAAAATGAATCAATTAATCTTGTCGTTTTAGCTAAATTGTTTCAGGCACTTCATATATTTGGGCCAAAACCAAAAAACTGTTCTGAAAAAAAGAAATACCAATAAATGTGTGTAACCTTTCACTTTACAAAGGCCTTCTTTCTGTGCACATATAATGAAAAAAAGTACATAATTTGGTGCTAAAATACATAAAATCTCCCAGTGTAGCATCACAATTAAATACAAAATGTTCACTCTTTTAAGTACTTCAAATATTAAAGGAGCATTTATTAAGTACTGACACAGGTCTTGTTGGGATATAACAATAAATGTCTCTACATAAATTCCGTTCACACATTGAAAAAGGCCATTGCACAGTAAAAAGTTAACACTGTTTCCGTTTAGCAGCGAGTGAATCACGACTCTGAACCCTTCAATGCCACGTGAATGTTACTTTCCCTTTTGTGACTTTGCTAAAAACAGACGTTGTAAACATTTCAACCCCTGCGCTGTTTTGGGGTCAGCTGGAGATACAACTGCATTTTAAGAAAAGGGTAGCCATCCATTTGGCAATCCCATGATCCTTCTCTGCACATGAAACCTCCGACCGCCTACATTCGACAGAGCAGTGTTCGGTTCAGAGATCTGGAGATGTCGGTGAAATAGACTTTTAAGACTAATTTGGCACTTTTTATTTGTAGCACACTAAGCTGGAAGAAGGATCCACCACAGACTTCAGAGTCTCCTGTAACAAACCAACATATATACTGTATATATAGTTTTCTTTTAAAGCTGTGGGAAATCACACAGCATGCCTTCATTTCAGTTTTAATACTATAGAGCAGCGATAAAATCTCAAGCGTCTGGGCAGGTTTTTATTTTTTTTAGTAACGCCTCAAGCACAAAAGGACAAGGACGTACCAGCTTTACATTTCTGCCTTCAAGCTGATGTATTCATCTGTGAGTGCGCACACAGGTGCCGAGTGTCTCTCTGAAACACGGCACCCAGCGAGTAAGCCTCGACCCTGTAACCTTTCTGTTCCAACAGTTTAAAACCTTCAGAGACCTTTGAGAATGAAAAATCAAACTGATATTGACATTTGACACTGTTCAAGAAAGCGCTATATAATGGAGATATAATTTAGTCTTTGTTATTATGTATATCCCATTTAATTTATCTTCTATATCTTGATTAAATTTCAGGTTTATGTATCAAGGCTCCAAATCATGAAGTGAGCAAAAAAACGATTTCTGCAGTCTCACTGGACTCCAAATCCCAGAATGCATTGGTGAACTTATGGAGCGTTCCATTTGATCTGGGCAGTCGGACTCTGAGTTGCAGGTCTGATAGGTTATCAGGAACGAAGTAATTAGCAGCTTAGTCCTCTTTTTATGTAATGAAATCAATCACACCGATAGTATCGTTCATGGACATGTTGTCATGTTATTTTACGCGCGCAAACCAACACCTAGTGAGCAAAACAAAGGTACTCCTGGAGGGGTCCAAGTTGCTTGTCATACTTTTGCCAACTTGCAACTGGAACGCGGTTAACTCGGGATGTGACGCCATTCACAGCTCCGAGATCCGTGGTAAATGGAACGCACCATTTGATCTTTAGTTATTCAGTGTTCACTCATCATTTGTTGTAAATCTGTTGCTAATGTTCTCCAGCATGTTTTCACAATTTACTGTAGGACTGAAAATCCAACAACGTTCACTGATAACTGCTGAAAAGCATTCTGGGAATTGTAGTTCATAGCTACATGAAATGTATTTGCGGTTCGCTATTGCTTCTTCTCTATAAATAAGTTTTCAAACTTTAAAGTACAAACACTTTTAAAGTAATCTCACAGATAATGGGTCGGCTTTGATTTGAGGCCTTTCACCTTTTTTAAGCCAAAGCTTCATTAGCTTTTTATTTCTAAGGGCATTACTTTTATTCTGTTGTTTCTGATATGAAGTACAAATACGAGATCAAATGTAAATCATTACCAGTAGGGGCTGGGAAATCAAACAGCATTAGAAGCAGGATTACATATTAAACTCTGCTGAGGTGCTCTGAAGGCTTCTTTTTTCACAGCTGGTTGTTGTTTTTGTCTTTAAGTACTTCAGTCAAACTAAAAGGCCTCTCGGGTACATTACTTGAAGCGCTGCTTTTTCTTGCCCAGCAAGAGCTCATCGTTGCTTTCATATTGCAAACATCAACTTTTCAAACCAGAGTCCGAACTCAGCAGGAACATCCGGTCTCCCTTCAGTGGGAGCCTTCAGTCCTCTGGAGGTCGAATCACACTCGCTCGTCGCCTCTGTCATACATTCTTAATATTTTAAAACTGTAAACAAAAGGAGAAAAAAAAAGATGGATAAAAAAAAAAAACAAGGAGTCTAGCTGTTGTGAAAAATAACGTTGCAGTTCTGATGTAAAATAAGTTACAAAAAAAAAGAAAAGAAATAAAAATCTTTGTGTACAGTACTAACATCCTAAACTAGAGCGTTCAAACTGAAGAACCACATGTTAAGTCTATAAATATCTTTACAAATATACACGTTAATTATTCAAATAAACCTTTTTCTGTGTCACTTTCAACGATTACATGATTCACACTTTCATGACAGTGTCTTCTAGATTGCAATGCTTCCATCCTAAAAACAAATACTTTAAAAAAAAGTGTGATTTTTTGTCTTTTACGTACATCGCTGTGGACAGCAATATGATACATATTTCCATTTATATATTTACAATAAATCATTTTCTAGATATATATATATAAAACCTCCAAAACCTTGCTGTACTAATTACCGATGGCCCTGAAACGTCGCCTCGTGTCCGATGAGGAATTTGTTCCATGATTATCACAAAACAGTGTTTCTGGATGATGACTTAGAAATCTGTAAGAAAAACATGTTTGAAGCATCGAGTTATTGAGAGTCTTAGGAAGAACGCGTCACATCGTTGAGCTTTGCTGGTGTCCTGTCGATGGATCTTTCTTTGAGAACTGAACTTTAGTCCCAATATGAGGGCTCCGGTGCAGACGAGAGGATAAAAAATCTGAGGTCCTCGCTGACTGAATCTCCAACCAGTCACTGACCAATGCCCTTCATCGCCTCCTCTTGTAACATGTCAGTCTCTTTTTTTTTTTTTTTAGGTGTCAGGAGGTTTTTTTATTTTTATCCCAGTAGGCACGGAATGGTTTCACCGCACAGATTGTCCGTAAGAAAAGACTGGCCCGAGTACAAAAATATAATTTCATTCCTGAAAAGAGGAACACAAACATGATTTCAACGGCAGAAAAAAAATAATCCTTCAATGTTCCAGGAGTCTCTGAGGGGAGGAGGAGGAGGAGGAGGAGGAAGACTCGGTCCAAAAAGGGTTTAAGACGAGTAGAAGAGCTGTGGAGGTGTTGCATGCAGAGTTTGAAGTTCCACATCTTGAGGAGTCACTGTGAGGAGTCTGTGAGCGAGGAGGTAAAAGTTCAGTCTCCCCCTCCTCCTGGCTCAGGTTTTATGTCCTGATCACCCCGTTACTGGGGAGCGGCGGTTTGGGAAGACAGGGCTCGTCAGGCAGCGGGTCGTGGGCGAACACCGAGTCGTCTCCTGACGAGCAGGTGCTGTTGGAGTCCTGACAGGTGGGCGAGTACTGCTCGAAGGGCACCGCCAGGTCCAGGTACTCCTGTCAGAGGAGAGGTCAGAGGTCAGACCGGGGGTGTCACTGTGAAATCATTTTGTGGTCACACAATAAAGTGAAGAATTACAGTATGTAGTTTATTTTTAGAAGGTTAATGAGCTGCTGAAAAAAAACATGACTACAAATCTGTTTTCCCTTTTTTCTTTGTAGATATTCTGCAGGAGTTTGCTTATCATTTTTAATAATAAAAAACAAGAAGTTTTCTAATAATGGCTGCAGAGAACTTTTTTTCACTGGAATCTTATTTAAGTGTAAAACTCTGGTATCATGACAACTTTGATCTCAATAAGCAATGTTTGGAAAAACTACAAAAAAGTTGTTTCGCTCTAATTTGTGAATGCCTTCTTCCTCTTTCTACGCTTCAATCAACAATGTGGGCAAAATCCTTCAGTAAGCCACGCCCACTTTAAGTCCACAGACGTCCAAGGGGATGACTGATGATGAATTTTAGTTTGGTCTGAATGATGGGTTTATGGATGTTTCCAAACATCCTCAGACTAATTGACATAGGCTCACTCTCATCTTTATGTATTTCATGTTTTTTGTATTTTGTCAGCGTCTATGTTGTCTGATTCTATGTTGTCTGTGTTTTCTGTGTTTTTTTCACCTGGCTGCAAAACAAATTTCCCCTCGGGGTTAAAAAGCTGAAGGTGAAACTAAAGGTGTGTTTCTGTGTTCTTCCTGGTGTTTCTGTGCTATCAACGAAAGCCTTTTAACGGCTGTGAGCAGCGGCTGTGCGGGGAGACTTACATCGGTGGAGGTCATTGATAAAACCCGGTCGTGATCTTCTACCAGCTGTCTGAAGGTCGGTCTCTGCGACGGCACGGCGTGCCAGCACTCCCTCATGATCATGTACCTGAAACAACCACATCAAAGCTCGGTTACTCTGCAGCTCGTCCATTTAACATCTTAAAATAAATATTCTCTGATCTGAAATGGATTGCTTTGGTCTGCAGCTGGATGGAGTCGGTCTGTAATTGAGGTTAAAGCAAAGTAAAGGCTCATCGTCATTACTGGTCGGTTTTCACTTTCATTTGTTTCCAGCTGAAAGACGACACCGTTCGTTCACTGCAAATTACAGAAATGGAAGTTTTCTTTTTACAACCTCAGAGTCGAGGAGAAACCAAAGTGCTGCTGACGTGTAGTGATCGATCTCTCGGTTCTTTGGATCAACAGTTACAATAAATTATTTAAAATCCGACTTTAACCAAGAGTTTCAAATTACTGATCTTTAAAAACCACCTTTTTCCTGTTTGAAATCAAGAAGGTACATGCAGAGCCAAAGTCTATTCAACTTTATTCATATAACACAGAAATCTCTACACAGGTTATCTCAGTATAGAGCTCTGTATTAGTAATGTTTACAGAGACCAAATACTTACGATTCTCAATCAAATCTGATCAATTAAAGCACGTTACGTTATAGCATCTATATATTAGAGCTTTTACAGTTTTTTTAAGGTGGATTGCGGTCCAAATTCAGTGAGTTTTTTGAACTCTCTCACTCTGAAGACCTCCTGTGAACCTCATTATCTTAACATGTGAACCTTAAAGTACGGAAGCCCCAAGAGGACATGCATCTATGCATTTTTTTAATGCAGTTTTCCTGCGATAATGAGTAAGTTTGGGTTGTTTTCTGGGGATCTTGACTCATTTAGCTGGTTTTCAAGTTTTCATTTTGTATTTTTTATCATCATGTGGATAAATTGACTCATAATCATGTTGTTATCTTGAAAGAACTGCATACAGAAAAGTCAAAAGCGACTAAAGCAAAAGGAAATTCTTGTTATGAAAGCCTAAAGTCCCGCCTCCAGCTCTGGTCTCATCTTCTCTCAGATCCTTTCCTACCCGGGTCAGATTAGTCTGCTCTGAGTTGTTTGAAACACTTACAGTTCATGTGTGCAGTTTGCAGGTTTGTCCATCCGATGTCCCTCCTTCAGCAGCTTAAACAGTTCTTCTACTGGGATCCCTGGATACGGAGAGCCACCCAGGGTGAAGATCTCCCACAGCAACACCCCGTAAGACCACCTGAACACACACACACACACACACACACACACACACACAGTGAATACAGAGTAGAGGTCAAACGCTGCTCGCTGCCTGAAGCAGTCAGAGAGAGGAGCTTGTGTTCCCCTGATAAACTGATGAATCTGTTCGGAGGAAGTATTGATCTTCAATAATGTTTACCGCATCCAATTTAAGAATCAATTAGACTTTCTCATCGTGTTGGACAGTCGGTCAATATTTGTGAAAATCAACCCTGAAGTCGGAGAGGAGACGAGTGGAGACTCAAAGTCATCATGCAGAAATAGAAGGTGGGATCAGCTGTGTTAATAAACACAGAGGGGAGTTTAATGAGACCATTTTTTATCTCATTTAATCTCATACGTCTAGCCTCAGGACGCAGCAGCAAGACCTCCATGAAAAAACCGACCCCAATTTCAGAAATTTTTTAAACTGATTCGATTTTCTTTGATGAAAAATTGTGCAGCTTGGATCTCAGACGGTTTGAAACATTTGAGCGATGCAAGAGACTAAACAAAACAAACACGCTTACAAAACAGACTTTTTGATACCTTCATGACCCACTGAAAACAGCTCCACAACCCATTTTTGGGTCCCGACCCACCAGTTGAGAACCACTGAGTTCGACTGTTTGTACTCAAAAAGCAGGAAATGTTATCATCCTATATCCCATACAAGTTAACTTTTATACAATGTCAACAAAAGCCTTTTAACGGCTGGTAAACATCCATGTGGGAGTTCATTTTCAGCATCAGTTCATCATTGGTTTAAATCTTTTCATGGGATTTATCAGTAGAGTAAATAAAACTCGGATGTAGTCTCAGTGATGTCACTCTTTGCTTTCTGAAAAGACATTTTGAAGCTTAATGATGATATAAAAAAAGGTGGAGTTGAGGCTTGAATTCGCCGCTAACTGGCTAAATGAGTGAAGCTAATCAGATGATGGGGCTCTATTAACTCAGGGTGCTATTGTTCAGCCGTTTGTCCAGTGAATCAGAATCGGACCCCTCCTCCCTCTGCAGGTTTAATCTAATTATCCTCGCTCCGCTCCAGAGCGCTGGAAGCAGCCGCTGCAGAGCGAGTCGATTGGTTCATCATGCAAGGAGAGAAAAAGAGACGGACGACGTCTGTGACGAGAGGCGAGGACGGCGCTGTAGTCGATAACTACAGTTCACACTCCTGAACGCTAACTGTCTCATTGTTGTTCTTGAGCTTCATCCTTATTATGAGGGGACGACCTGCCCCTCCTCCTCCTCCTCCTCCCTCCAACACACCAGCTGTTTTATTCTTCATCCACTTTGCTACTTTCAAAGCGTTAGTGAGTGTGAACGTGTAGTGAGATTTATTCTATGCAGTCTTTATAGATCCTGGAACACCTCGGAGGCTCAGAGTTAAAATCCTCACTTCAGCGGTTTTGGCAGCGTGGAAAAAAACTACCCGGCAGAAGAATTAACAAGGTCCAAGTCGACACTAAAAAACCCTGATGCATGTATTCAAAATGTGAATTAATAGTTAGAATAATCACAAAAAATGTGTGAACCAACAGTGTGAAACAGCCAGTTTGACTTTTAAACGTACGCATGTTTGAAGGCTGCCGTATGTAACACCTATAGTGCCGTGTGAGCTCCTTTTGTTCCCTCCTTTTTTAACTATTTTCCTCGTTTGGCGGTGATTGTGTGACAGATTTGTTGAAAAGTGTTTTAAATGTTTCCCCGGCTGTTTGAGCGAAACAGTGAAAACCATCACAGGTCAGAAGTCAGAGTCCCCCCGGGGTGTGTGAGAGTAAACTGGCTGCAGAGCGACTACTGTATGAAGGGAGGAGGAGGAGGGGGGGGAGGGGGAGGTTTGGCGGGAGGATCGACTCTGTAATCCAGACCTGCTGAAATAACAGAGCGGGCCCGATTCTGCTCTCGGCCCGTTCCCAGTCTGGTGTAATCACACGGCGAGTCAGTGTTCACAGGGGCCCAGTGTTTGGCTTGGATGGCTGTGCTGGGGACACAACGTCTGACATGGGGGGGGGGGGGGGAGCGGTGCAGCTACCACGGGACAGATTGACTTTGTGACCTCCTCACCTCAAGTCGCTCTTTCTTCTCCCGATCGCAGCAGACACCGGAGCGATCAGAGGTCATTAAAGGTGAGTCTGTGATTTTTCTGAATCATTGTTGAATCATTGTGGTGGGGGGGCACCTTTAATAAGACCCTCCTATCTCCTTCTGTTCTGGTTAGGTTGGATTTACTCTGATAAAACAACAGTATGAATTTTGGGTCTCTGTTTGGTTTTCGCCTTCCTCTGATGTCTTGTTCGGAGATTAGAGAACAAACGCAGCGAGGAATGTGCGGCTCAGGATTATGAAGCGAGCGCAGATGACAGCGAGCGGGGAAAAAAATATTTGGAGAGGGAACGCGATGATTCCATATTCACACGCACAGACTTTGGCTTTTTGATGCTAACGTGCTCCGTCATGATATTTCAACACTCCGGATTCCTCCGCTTGTACAGCAAGCTCACACATGAGCGGACAGTTGGCACGATGTGGCGGTTTGGGTTTGTGCAAAAAAACTCACACGTCGCTCTGGTGCGTGTAGACCCGGTCGAACAGCGCCTCGGGAGCCATCCATTTCACGGGCAGACGACCCTGCAACAACAGAAACCGCTTAGGTCAGCAGAACCGTTCTGTTCTGATCAGAGAGCAACACAGTTTGTTCTGCTCGGACTGTCCTTGAACTCATCACAATAAGGCAGGTGTAGAGTAACGTCTCTAGGAACTTCACAAAAGCATTCATCAACATCGTACTGGTGAAGCTTTACACACTGAGCGCTACCTGCCTCCTCTTGCTTTGGTATAAAATCCAGATGATGAATGTTTTGTGAAAAATCTTGTTGCATTCACTTGAGTAAAAAGTAAAAAAACAAAATATCTGCTACGTTTATCTGAACTAACATGAGAGGCTAACAGTACATTTTATTCTGGACAGAGACTCTGGTGTAAGACGCTCAGAATCAGAATCAGAATCAGAATCAGAATTGGGGTTTATTGCCAAGTACATTTACACATACAAGGAATTTAACTTGGTGTATTGTTGCTAAACAAACTAAAAGAAGCAAACAGACCCCGACTCTCAGGATGAGTTCAGTTTTATTTAGGTTGAAGACATCCTCGATATACTCGTGTCTTAGAGTCAGATAGATGTATTCTGATCAGTTTGTGACTCTGTGTGGGCACCTTTGGACTTCACAGTTAATTATTTTGTGAAAACTGTTCTCTATAATTCACCGATAATTCAGAAAAACAAAAACTTCTGAAAAATCTTGAAGTGATTAAGTGTAAACATTTGATTTCAGTTTCCTCTGATTTTCAAGACTTTTAAGAAAAAACAAGAAACTGAAATTACTTCTTTTTTTATTTTTATTTTTAATACCATATATTTTTTAATTCTATTTTATATATTGTAATAGCTTCTTATACTGTATTATTTAAGTTGTTGCTAGTTCTGCTTTATTTCCTTGTTAATTGTTTAGCACCAAAACACCAAGTCAAATTCTTTGTATGTGTAAATGTACTTGGCAATAAACCCAGATTGTGATTCTTAAGACTTGAGGATTATCTGATGCCTCCTCCAGCAGCACCTTTAAGAAGTCCATATTTAAATTTCTCTAAATATTCTTCAGACAGATTCCTGATGAACTGAGACTCACGTTTGTGGTCTTTTTGTAGTAGTCTATATTGTGCACGTCTCTGGCGAGACCGAAGTCGGCGATCTTCATAACGTTGTCCTCCGTCACAAGGACGTTTCTGGCTGCCAAGTCTCTGTGGATACACTGAGGGAGGAAAAAAAAAACAAAGATATCAAACACACACATCCACACAATGCATCGCTCAATCACGCTGACACACACATTTGCATACACTCAAACATGCAGACAACTTTCATTTACACACATCTTATTTTACCCCAAAAAACATTTCTGATTCCCTTCTTCTTGGAAAGTTTAGAAAGTTTAAAGCTAAATCATGTTTTGAACGATAATAAGTACGATTAATTAAAAAATATCAGTTCAATAAAAGTCCTTCAAACATGATGCATAAATCCACAGCGGGGCTCAGTGACTGAACATTAGCATATCAGCGGTAACATCATCCAGGCTCTGACCTTCTGCGAGGCGAGGTACTCCATGCCTCGGGCGACCTGGTAGGCGCAGGACACCAGGTCTTTGAAGGTGAGCTGCTCGTCTGGGATTTTACACGTGTCGAAGGAGTAGTCCATGCCCGGAGGCCGCCGCGCCCGCAGGTACTCCCTCAGGTTCCCTTTAGAGGCGTATTCCACCAAGACGTACAGGGGACCTGCGAGTAACACGGAGCACGCGGTCACTCAAAGATCATAAGATAATAAATGTGTTCATCACCGCCTCTGTGGAAAAAAAAAGGGGCTGCAGCCTCACCGTCCTGCGTGCACGCCCCCAGCAGGTTGATTATGTTTTTGTGTTTCCCGATCATCTTCATCATCTCCATCTCCGACACCAGGTCTGACAGATCTTTATCTGTGGCGTCATCTGGGAAAAAAAACAAGAGCAGGACGCCGGATTAGAAGAAAAGATCGGACAATTCATGGGGGTGAAGAGCTCGAGACAAATTACCAAAATACAAAACGTGCAATAAACACCAGGGAAGACATTTGAGTTTGGGGAGTATGACAGAAACAAGAGCAGGCAAAGGGTAAAAAATTGTGGAACAAAGAAAGATGCAATGCAGTTGTTCTCCTTGAGGAAACAACAGTTAAGGTCATGTGTTCATTCCAAAACAATCACAAACCTTTCAGCATCTTCACAGCAACAGTGAGCGGCTTGTTGGGCTTCTCCTTGTCGATGCCGACTGCCTCGGCCATCACCACCTGACCGAAGCAGCCCTCGCCCAGAGGCTTACCCAGAGTCAGCCTGAATGGAAAAAAAAAGAAAAAGTCAGGGATTAGTTTGAGTTGAAATTGGATGTAGCCATCATGACTTTAGACATTGGTAGTCACCCATTCAAGCCTCAAGTGGACACTTAAGGAACTGCAGTTATTTGCAAGATTAGCTACACATTAAAGGCTTTATATGTGATTTTTTGATCCAGCAGATGTCGCCCTTGAGCACCAGCATGAAACCAAAACAACTCGCGCTGCATTGTTGTGTTAGCATGCTAATGCTAGCGATCTTTATTATGCTGGTATCTTCACACTGCATGTAAATTTACCTGAAATGAGCGTGATCTAGAAACACAGTTAAGCAGTGAGTACAGTATGTTATTCTTCTTTTCTCTAGTCCCTCAATTAAACAACTTTTATACACGAGGGGAGGAGTCAGCCGGCCGTCCGGGCGATGTAAACAAAGTGAAGATAGGACTCTGAAAACTCTGAAAACATCACAGACAGTGGGACTCGGGTGTTACACCCATTGTAGACAGTCATGACTCACAGAGTTATTTTCAGAGGAGATACTTGATTTCTACATTTAAGTGTGAAAAATCACATATTAAGCCTTTAGTCACCAGTAGAGTCGCCCCCTGCTGTCATTTAGCGAGACTGCAGGTGACATCCACTTGTTTTTTTAATTCCTCTCTGCAGTTTTCACTGTTGCTGATTTGACTGCCAAGCACATAACTGTGGAGGATGGTGTCTCTGTGACCTTGATGTATTGACGGCTTGCATGTTTTCACAGCACATCAGGGTACAAGGACAACAGAACGGTATCCATCACATCAGAAATATGTTGCTTGGTGAAGTAAAAAAAAAAAAAACACTCATTGTTTGCTTTCTGACAGGCGTGCAAACAGCAGTGAAGAATGTGTAACGCTGGAATTTTTTATTTTATTTTTCAGGGTTTCTTCTCACCGTGTTCGAGGAAACTCCCATTTAGGGTCTGAGGGCAGCTCCAGCTCCGAGACGTTGGCGAGCATCGGCCCGTCGCTGGATGACAGGCGGGCGATCCTGACCAATGGGGTGTTGGAGTTCATGGAGGAGTTAGAATCCAAGGACACCTGCTTGGGTGATAAAGACAGACTGTTATAGTCTCTGAAAAGGGCGAGCTGATGTGTTCTTAAACACAGAGACAGAGGGAAGGGAGAGAATATCAAACTTTTTATCTTTAAGTCCATGTTGGAATTGAAACTTTAACTTGGAGATTTTTATGTCGAGAAGAACAGTTTCATTTGAATTTATCTTTTTACAAGTTGAAATGAAAACTAAAAAAAAACAACCTTGTATCAAACTGAATAAATATGAAATGCTTTTGGCAGACTGGAAAAGTCTCACATCTCTGGACCAATGTCAGAGCTCATTCAGAGGCTCAAAGTTTCTGACAAACAGCCTGCCTTGTGACACCAGCCGTGACTTTTACAAACAGCCGGCCTGTGGTGGTGCACACGAGGAAGCAGGCGGTAACAAAGACGAATGAAGGAGGAAGCAGAGGTGGGCGAGCGAGCGAGTGCTGAGGTGGGTTGGACATCTCTATCCATCAGCCGGCTCCATTCCCAGACCGGCGGTCCTGCCGCCCGAACTTGCCAGCTCGCCTCTCCTCCCACCATTTATCTGACTGCTGGGAGGAGCTGATGGCTCCGGCCCTGCTTTTTGATGGATCTGTTTGTGTCAGAGTCTGCCAGCTTGGCCCCTTCAGGTGGGGTCCTGAAACAAACATGTCCACTTACCAGACTCCCCTTCCTCCGCCTCTCCACGGGAGGAAAATGAAAAAACAAAACGCTGTAAAGCTTAAAAAAAACCCACCACAATTTTCAGAGGCATGAAAAGTAATATCTGATAGAACATGCCAGGGGGTTTATGGGAGATTTAGCCAGAGTTATGAAAAAGAAAGGAGAGAAGCGGGAGATTAGCTTTACAAAAACGAAGCAAAGATTACAGAAAAATGCAATAAGACCTTTCCCTGCGCTGCCTTATAAGAGCATGTTTATGAAGGTAGAAGAATAGAAGAGATTTAGAGGCCACAATTAGAGCATCTTTCCAAAGATGTGCATACCTCATGTTACCTAACAACCTGGCATTTACAGAACAAGGAATAATCAGCAGTTTCTCAATCCAGATTAACCCAGATTTAAGTCAAAGTGATGTGTAAATTTCCAAAGAACCAGTCCTATACTGAAATGCAACTTTTTTCATTCTGAGGAGTGAAACACTTAAATTATGAACATGGAAAAACCATGCAGCGGCTGGGATGGATAATGAGAAGCTCTTCTGCCTTTCAGACATTCAGATGATCTTTACATCCACAGTGGGTATAAATCATAGTGGGTCACCAGTATTTCAAGAAACCAAAAGAATGAGAGCCAAACTGCACTGCCTGACAGGTTTTGAACATATGAGACAGAGAAGTATTAAGAATAGACAGAGGAGCCCCGGAGCTCAGACTGAAGTCTTTTGATGCCAGTAAAGCGGAGTGAACACAGGACAAGACGAGGGTGAGGGCAAACTAATTAGAGTGCACACGGAAAGCCAGCACTGGAAAAGGCACCCTGGTCTGGTCTTCAGAAAACCTCTTTTCCCTTCTTGGACTTGTCTGATTCCTGTTTTGACTCAGACTTGTCCTGGTCGACCCTCTGATGGATGTTGACTCATACCCCCCCTCCTGCTTGTCTAGAGACAACAGCGCCCTGAACAATCTTCTCAAGCCAACGCTTTCCCAAAAAACATTTTGCCTACCACTGAAAGTAACATTTTATTTAGATAATATAATAATAGATGATATTTTAACGTGCTATGCTCCCCCGGCCCTCGGGAGAAATAAAGAGAGAGAGAGAGAGAGAGAGAGAGAGAGAGAGAGAGAGAGAGAGAGAGAGAGAGAGAGAGAGAGCATGTCGATTCTGATCACAAGTCTGGGGAAATATTTGCTAATTGTCAAGAGTCTGTTAAATATAAAGCTGAAATCAGAAACCAAAGGCTTTACTAACCATCAGATAAAAGATAGCTAGGTCTTCCTGATCCATTCTTTATGCTAAGCTAAGCTAGCTAGTTCTAGATCTGTAATGGCTGAACAGAAACATGTATGGTATTTATCTTCTTATCTAATGCTCAACCAGAGAGCCAATACTATTTTGCAAAAGTTTCTCACTATTTCTAAACTGCCTGTGAGTTTTCAACACATAATAATTTAGTCTCGGGGGTCACGTGACGATGGTTGGCTAGAGGACGTGTTTTCACCGAGCTCCCGCTCCCACTCTATTTTGATTATATTTGATACGGTCTAATGTATCCAGTTTAGCTTATTATGTCAACACATTGTTGTAACAACTTGTAACGAGAAGAAAGGTACACCCTTAAGTGACAAGAGATGTCGAAACAGACGAAAATTCAACCACGCAAGTCAACAGCTGCTACAACTGCTAGCCAAACGAGCACTGCGCACGAAGGAGGCAAAACCCTGCCTACAATGGATGCCACAGCTTTAATTCATGAGGTAACTCAGAACTTTAGCGACGTTTTGGAAAATAAACTTTTTAAGTTCTCTGAGACTTTGGAAAAAATTTCCACGACCCTGGAAAGCCAGTCCAAACGCATTACCGCGGCTGAACAGAGAGTATCGGATGTGGAGGACACGGTGGCCGGTCTGGAGGCAAGACTCGCCGACGCAGAGAAGAAAATGAAGGTGATGGCTGATGGCATAGTTGACATGGAAAACCGGAGCAGGCGGGATAATATCCGCGTACTCAATTTGAAAGAGGGCACGGAGGGGAAGCGCCCGATAGACTTCTTTGAATCTTGGCTGCCCACCGTTCTCAGCCTAGAAGCGAGCCCCGGTACCAAAAGCCGTATTAAAATTGACCGGGCACATCGGAGTTTGGGACCGCGAGGCGCACGCCCTCGCCCGGTGATCATCCGTCTGCACAACTCCAGGATAAGCCGAGAATAATGGCAGCAGTGAGGGCAACGCCTAACCTGGAATACGAAGGACAGCGGATCTTTATACACCAGGATTTATCGTCTGTGGTTCGAGAGAGGCGACGCGCATTTAACAATGTATGTCAAGCTCTAATCCACAAGGGCATACGGTTTAACATGCGCTTCCCGGCTACACTGACAGTGAACTACAACGGCGCAGAGCACAAGTTTGAAACACCGAGAGATGCAGATAACTTTATCAACACACTGGAATAAATCTGGTCAGTAGTTACTTGTTAACCATAGCTCTCTTCTACCTAAATATAAGACTGTAATAATCTAAATACTGGCATGGCTAAACTATATTTTGTCTTTCCCAAGTGTGTCTCTTGGTGTGAAGCAGCCTTTCTTTTGTCTGGCTAAAATATTGATAACAATCAAGGGGCCCTCTTCTTTCTCTTTTTATTTCTCAAATATTATGGCCATAGAAGCTTTATGGTAATTAAATGCCAAATATAACAGGCATGTAATAACTTTATGTTGTGGGACGGGAGTGGATATGGAGGGATTTTTGTTTTGTTTTGCTTTCTCCCCTCCAGAGGTGATGACTCCTTCTGGCAGCACGTGCTCCTATAGTACTACCCATCTGGTAGCGTTTGGTTTTTGTTCTGTTTTGTTACTTTATACACTTCATGCTCTTATGCTGGCTTTATATTTGCATGGTGCTCTGAGCATGGAGAAGGTTCTGGTTCTTCCATCTTTAGGTGATGGATATGTTTATGTCAGCACAGTTTCTATGTCAAATGATACTGAATTGATCTTTTTTTACATACAGTGGGTTGTATATCAGGCTAAATTGTCTTATTTTATTTTTTCTTGTCAGATAAACACGCTACATAATGAGTAACATTAAAATTATCACATTAAATGTCAAAGGGATCAATAATGTGGTAAAGAGACGTAAAATACTTTCTATGCTCAAAAAAGACAAGGTACAAGTGGCACTATTACAAGAGACCCACCTTACAGACCTTGAACACCTGAAGTTAAAACGTGATTGGGTCGGCCAAATCTTTTATTCCTCATTCAACTCAAAAAGTAGAGGGGTGGCAATTCTCATCCACAAAAATATGAGTTTTAAACTTGAAAAAGTTATTCACGATACAGAAGGAAGGTATGTTGTAATTACTGGGTTTTTATATGGAGAACATGTTCTCATGGGAAGTGCTTATGCCCCCAATACTTTTGACAGCTCATTTTATTCAAAGTTACTGGCTGATATATCTTCTATTTGCCCCCCTTTTGTTATATTAGGAGGAGATTTCAATTGCGGATTGGTTCCAGAAATGGACCACAGTCCATCTAAAACTTTACCTCTATCCAGGATGGCAAAAGCCACAAAGGATCTATGTCTAGATCTAGGCTTATTTGATGCATGGAGAATCATTAATCCTCGAGAGAAAGATTTCACTTTTTTCTCTCGCCCTCATCGGTCTTTCTCAAGAATTGACTATTTATTTGTTTCAAGATCAACACTCGACAGGACTAAATCCTGCTCTATTGATGCATGTATCCTTTCGGATCATTCATTAGTTTCTATAGAACTCCTACCACCTTATTATGACCCTTTATCTAGACACTGGCGCCTAAATTCATCTCTTCTCAGCGATCCTGAATTTGTAACATACTTAGAAAAACAATGGGAACTTTTTATTTCCACTAATGAATCACCTGATGTATCTGCATCTACTTTATGGGAAACAGGCAAGGCTTTTCTGAGGGGGGCATCATTTCTTATACAGCTGCTAAGAGGAAAAATGCACTAGCGAAACAGTTAGAGCTTGAGCAGCAAATTAAAACCTTGGATAGAGTCTTTAAAACCTCTTCCTCCGTTTCGGTGTTTAAAAAATTAGAAGCAGCGCGCTCTGCCTTAGATCAACTTCTAACCCAAAAAGCAGAATCAGCTATTTTTTTTGCTAAGCATAGATTATTTGAATCTGGAAACAAACCTGGCAGGCTCCTTGCCAGTCTTGCAAAAGGCCGGGCAGGGTCTTGTGTAATCCCATCACTCAAAGATTTCAAGGGGAAACAACATTTTGAAACCAAAGTTATCAGTAAAATAATGAAAACATTTTACCAAAACCTTTACTCTTCTGAGTGTCAAAACACTTCGATGCTGAGAAAACGATTTTTTGATAAAATAAATCTCCCAACTCTGTCTGAAACAAACAGAAATGATCTATGCAGACCAATCACAACACAGGAAGTT